TTACTATTATACAATTTAAAATGAAATGATTTATTTTTTCAAATTGAGAATGTGGAAGCAACACAATCAAAAATAACTACTTCTATTACTATGTTGCATTCAATTTGACTCTTCTACAAACAACTTATTTTGTTGTTTTTTTTTCCATTTTAAGCAACATATCATTACTATATACAACCTAAGATGATTATTTTTGAATGAGAATGATTTGTTTATTCAAGTTCATTTAGGAAACATAATTAAAATATCCTCTTATGATACAATTGTTCATTCTATCTATCAAATAATTCAATTTGTTATTATAGAAATATGTTGTTACAAAGAATGATCTGCATGTATAATGTAATAATAACTGGTTACACTGAACTGGTTGAACCAATTCAGTTTGGTTTTTTTTTGCAAAAAACTGGTTTTGCTGAACTGAAATGAACCACCCATACCTAGGTGTTCAAAGTTGTTTTGTTCCTGTTCCTGGTTACAGGATTAAACCAATTTTATTGGCTGATCAGAAGGAACAAAAAACAGAACAGAGAAACAATGATTTAAAAAAATGAAAACAAGAAAACAAGAATACCAAAAATAGCCATACAACAAACAACCTCAAAAACCTCAACAAAAAAGTGTTTGTCCAGTTCAGAAAGTAGCTTTTACTAATAAAGGTATTTACCCAGTTCAAAGATCAGCTTCTTCTACTAATAATGACACAACTACAAAATATTTATCCAGTTCAAAAAGCAATCAAAACTTTCATCAAATTCATCTGAACCAGTTGCTTCTTGAAATAGATTTAGAACTAATGTCCCAACATTTTATTAATAATTTATATTAACTATGTAAATTTTATTATTTAGATCAGTACTAAAGATAGATATGAAAACAACTATGCTCAAGTTGATCCTGATTTCCATTACCTAATAAGTATTGTATAACAAGGAACAGGAACAACCCTGAACACCCATAATAGAAAATTGAATATCATACCAAAAAAGGAAATATCACACAAAATCACCACTGACATGTGTATATAGTAGGGGTGTTCAAAGTTGTTTCATTCCTGTTCCTGTTCCTTGTTGTACAATACCTTATTAGGTAATGGAAATAAGGATCAACTTTGAGCAGAAATTTCCTAGTTGTTTCCATAACTTCTATATTTGGGACTGAACTACATGCATTTTTTTAAAAAATATGTCAACTTGTGAAAGAATTGAAGAGGCATTGTTTCTAAATCTATTCCAAGAATAACTGAATTGGATGAATTTGATGAAAGTTTTGTTGTTACACATCATTATTATTAGTAGAAGTTGCTGAACTGGATAAATGCTTTGTTGTTGTTGCATGTCATTAGTAGAAGCTACTCTTTGAACTGGATGAGGCTGTTGTACATTATTAGTAGAAGCTATTTTATGATATTCTCATTTTCTTTGTTTTTATTTTTTTATTTTTTATTTTTATCATTGGTTGATTCATTTCAATTATTTATTTATTATATAAAATCATTAGAGGACATATTAGAAAAATTTTTTTAATAATAGTTATAGCATGATTTTTTTTCTGTTTCGGTTTCCTTTCTTCACCATTTATTCTAATAACATTCATTCTAATTTTTTACTACTCCTCACCACATCTTTCATCATTCTCAATCATTCTCAAACTCTCAAACTCTCACTCACACTCTCACTCATAAACCACATACTGATTTATGATATATAAAGGACTTGGTAGAGCAGCCGAATGCTATCTTGGAGAAAATGAAAGATGGGACCTACGTTGTAAATTATTCAATGACCAATTTTCCTCCATACGTACCACCTAATTCTTCTGCCACAAAATTTACCGGTGACGTTGAAGATTTTCTACATGATCTAACGTTAAATAATCCTTCTTCATCAATAAATCTTACAGTGCCATTTCCTGCATCATCTGAAGTTTATGACTTAATAAGAGCCCGTTTTAATAATAGACATAATAATAATGTCAATGTTGATAATAATAATAATAATACTGTTGGTGGTGCTACAGCAAGTTCATCGTCAACAATAATAACAACAACAGCATCGTCATCATCATCATTGGCAGCATCAACGAACAACAACACCACTAATACATCAACGTCGAATTTAGATACAGAGTGTAGTAAAAGATTATGGAATCAAATGCTATTGGAGTATAATGACGATTTTATTCACGTTCTTTCATTAAAAGGAATATTTCAATATAGTTCGCCTAGCTGTCGAAGAATTTTAGAGTACGAGCCAGAAGAATTGATTAACAAAAGTTTATCGACAATTTGTCATCCGAGTGATATTGTTCCGGTTATGAGGGAATTGAAAGAATCGTCTAGTGGTATCGAGGCTGTGAACCTTGTTTATCGTATTAGGAGAAAAAATTCCGGGTATATGTGGTTCGAAGCTAACGGTAAATTGCATTTGGAACAGGGAAAAGGTAGAAAATGCGTGTTTTTATCAGGGCGTGAAAGACCCGTATATAAATTAAGATGGAGAGATTTGATAAGTCCACAACAAATCAACTTTGGTATGACCTCTTCAAGTATCACCACTACCAGTAATGATCCTATAATATCAACACCACTACCACTACAGCAAAAGCAGCAACAATTATTATCTTTATCATCAAACGAACAAGACGTTTGGTCAAAATTATCATTGGATGGTTTATATTTATACGTCTCGTCAACTTGTCAAAATGTTTTGGGTTTAATGCCTGAAGAAATAGTGGGAAATTCTCTCTACAATTATGTAAGATCAGATCGTACAACCGACATCACCAGATCATTAAATCATGCTAAAAATGGATTATCAAATGGTTTAAAACATCACATGCAAAAAAAGAATGGACAATTCATCGAAGTGATATCGTATTTTTATCCTGGGGATAATACTACTTCCAATAACAATACTGTCGGTAGTAGACCAACATTTATAATATGTCAAACAGGAGAAATAGCAAATGACGGTAGTGGTGCTGTTGTTGGTAGCGGTAAACGTAGACAATCTTCCCCTTTGTCGAATTCACCGGACGATAATGTTATAGCAACTTCAAGTACAGCGGGGGGTGGAAGTAGTTCAACAACTCATATAGTAACACATCAAAGAAATATAGCAGTTGACCATCAACCTGATGATAACATATTCGAAGAATTGGACACAACCAGAAGTACAAGTTGGCAATATGAATTACATCAAATGAGGTTAACGAATAAGAAATTACGCGAAGAATTGGAAGCTATTAAACATTCGAAAAAAAAACGGGTAATAAGATCAAGTAAATCAGCTTTTAAATGAGAGAAGAAAACGCACTTTTTTAAACAAAATCAAATCAACTTTCATTTCCCTCCTTTTTTAAATTAAAAAAAAAATAAAAATCAAATCAAAAATAAAAAAATATTTAGAAAAAACGCAATCCATCATCACCATCATCATCACCATCACCATCATCAACAATCTCATCAAACAAGATATGTGCTAATTGTCAACGAAAAGAGTCACCGGAATGGAGAAAAGGGCCCGATGGTCCAAAAACTTTGTGTAACGCGTGTGGTTTACGTACGTAAATTTGTTGTTGTTACTATTGCTCATTTGCTCTCCACACTCGCCCACAAATTTACTACTACCATCACTACATCAATTAATTTTTGTTGGTGGATTTTTTATTTGTGCATGCATGCTTGTGTTAGTTTAGAAAAAAAATTTTCTTACATTTACTTATTTGTTTAATTAATTAATAAATTATTTATTTTTTTTTTTTTGAAAAAAAAAAATATTAGGGTATGCAAAACAAGTAAGTAGTAGTAATAATAACAAAAATAACATCAATGTCGATAACAATATTAATAACAATGAAGATGGTGGTGGTGGTGATAATTTTGTTAGTGGTTCTTGAGCAATTATTACTATATGTTTATTATATTATATGTTTTTTTTGCAAATAAAAATTATTATATATCATAAATTATCATTATTAAATTAACAACATAGCAATAAAGTTTCGTTGTGATTGTATATGATAATGACGTGGACTAAATCATAACGGAAAATATATTGACTGTAATTGTTATCGTTTTCTGGACATTCTAACCTACTTTTTTTTTTATAAAAATTTTCTTGTCTGTCCACTCTCTCTTTCTTCTGGCAACTTGAATATACTTTGTTGATATAAATATTGTGTCATCATCTATCAAGCTTCAAATTTGACAGTAATTATTAACCAATCGCTTTCATTATTTTGTTCACGATTATCCGAGATTCAATAGGAATAGATCTGCCGACTTATTTTAATACTCACTCGCATCATTAAAGCTACTTACTAGTTGTTAAATCATTGTCATCATATATATTTCTTGTGATATAACATTCCCAATATCATTATTATTAAATACAATTTTGGAATCAACAGACTGGTCATATTATTATCAACATCATCATTAGTTGATTGATCAACTTGAAGTCTGATGAAAATCTTCTTTAATTATTATGGATTCAGTCGCCATAATCTCAACTTGAGGTTTCTTCATTATTATTATCAAATCAATGTCAATTAGTAATTAATATTAATGAAAGAATTATATATGTACGTGTATATACAAAAGATTTAAACGATGATATTTCTTCAAGTGGTGTGTTAATGTAAACGATAATAATGATATCACAACTAATTTTTTTTTTCTTGATGTCAAACAAATAATACCACTTGGCAAAAGGCCTTATAAAAATTTTGTTAGAGAAAAAAAAAGCATTAAAATTCGAAAAAATTTTAGATAAATAACAAATTAACACCATACGATAATTTCAAGGAATTATCCGATTGTTTTATCATTGATTAGATTGCAATATCACGATCACACAAATTTATTTTCATTCTAAAAAAGAATAATGATAATGATAATCTGTGTGTATGATTATCAATTGGAATAATCTCATTTATTTTTTTTTCCTTGAAAATTTTCCTCGAAAACTTTACTTGAAAAAAATCATATAAATATGACCAAATTTTCACCTTCAAAAATAATTTTACAATAAAATATAAAATTGCCTAATAATTCAATTAATTAATAAATAATAAATAAATAACAAATAA